TTCCATTCCCCGCGGAAGTGGAGAAAGTGGCAGGGGTATCCGCCCTTCCACGGAGGTGGAAGGAATGGTATCCATCCCGGGAAGTACCAGCAGCAATCCCCGGGGAGGGCCGAGCAGTCGAAAGATCAGCGCAGGGTCCTGTGTCGTTCCTCCATGAAGTCGGGGGAGCGACATAATGGTCCATGATCGGATATGAAGCCTAGGCAGGGTCTTGTGTCGTTCCTACACGAAGAGGGGGAGCCACACCAAATCAATAAAATCAGAGATGAAAAAGGAAACGTTAACAACAGACACCACAGAAATAAAAAGAATCTTCAGAAATTTCTACAAGGACTGTATGCCAGCAAACAGGGAAACCTATCAGAAATGGATAGATTCCTGGACACATGCAACCTACCTAAATTGAACCAGGAAGACATCGAAAACCTAAACAGACCCATAACTGAGACAGAAATTGAAACCGTAATAAAGGCCCTCCCAACAAAGAAAAGCCCAGGACCAGATGGATTCACTGCTGAATTCTACCAGACGTTTAAAGAAGAACTAACTCCAATGCTTCTCAAACTATTCAGAACAATCGAAGAAGAGGGAGTCCTCCCAAATTCTTTCTATGAAGCCAGCATCACCTTAATTCCTAAGCCAGAGAAAGATGCAGCACTGAAAGAGAATTACAGACCAATATCCCTGATGAACATAGATGCAAAAATCCTCAATAAAATTCTCGCCAATAGAATGCAACAACACATCAGAAAGATCATCCACCCAGACCAAGTGGGATTTATCCCTGGTATGCAGGGATGGTTTAATGTGCGCAAGACAATCAATGTGATACACCACATTAACAGACTGCAGAAGAAAAACCATATGATTATCTCAATAGATGCCGAGAAAGCATTTGATAAAATACAACACCCGTTCATGATGAAAACTCTAAGCAAACTGGGTTTGGAAGGAACATTCCTCAATACAATCAAAGCAATCTATGAAAAACCCACAGCCAACATCCTATTGAATGGGGAAAAGTTGGAAGCATTTCCACTGAGATCTGGAACCAGACAGGGATGCCCACTCTCACCACTGCTATTCAATATAGTTCTGGAAGTTCTAGCCAGAGCTATTAGGCAAGAAAAAGTAATTAAAGGGATACAAATTGGGAAGGAAGAACTCAAACTATCCCTCTTTGCAGATGACATGATTCTGTATTTAGGGGACCCAAAGAACTCTACTAAGAGACTATTGGAACTCATAGAAGAGTTTGGCAAAGTAGCAGGATATAAAATCAATGCACAAAAATCAACAGCCTATATATACACAGGCAATGACATGGCTGAGAAAGAACTTCTAAGATCAATCCCATTTACAATAGCTACAAAAACAATCAAATACCTTGTAATAAACTTAACCAAGGATGTTAAGGATCTCTACGATGAAAATTACAAAACCTTAAAGAAAGATACGGAAGAGGATACCAAAAAATGGAAAAATCTTCCATGCTCATGGATTCAAAGAATCAACATCTTCAAAATGTCCATTCTCCCAAAAGCAATTTATACATTCAATGCAATACCAATCAAGATACCAAAGACATTCTTCTCAGATCTGGAAAAAATGATGCTGAAATGCATATGGAGACACAGGAGACCTCGAATAGCTAAAGCAATCTTGTACAACAACAAAAAAAGCTGGAGGCATCACAATACCAGATGTCAGGACATACCACAGGGCAGTTGTTATCAAAAGAGCATGGCACTGATACAGAAACAGATGGATAGACCAATGGAACAGAATTGAAACACCAGAAATCAATCAACATCCACAGCCAACTTATATTTGATCAAGGATCCAAAACCAATCCCTGGAGTAAGGACAGTCTATTCAATAAATGGTGCTGTGAAAATTGGATTTCCACAGGTAGAAGCATGAAGCAAGACGCCTACCTTTCACCTTACACAAAAATCCACTCAACATGGATTAAAGACTTAAATCTATGACCTGACACCATCAAATTATTAGAAAGCATTGGAGAAACCCTGCAAGATATAGGTACTGGCAAAGACTTCTTGGAAAATACCCCAGAAGCACAGGTAGTCAAAGCCAAAATTAACATTTGGGATTGCATCAAATTGAGAAGTTTTTGTATTGCAAAAGAAATAGTCAGGAGAGTGAACAGGCAACTGACAGAATGGGAAAAATATTTGCAAACTATGCAACACATAAAGGGTTGATAACCAGAATCAACAATGAGATCAAGAAACGCCACAACATCAAAACAAACAACCCACTTAAGAGATGGGCCAAGGACCTCAATAGACATTTTTCAAAGAGAAATCCAAATGGCCAACAGGCACATGAAAAAATGTTCAAGATCACTAGCAATCAGGGAAATGCAAATCAAAACCACAATGAGGTTTCACCTTACCCCGGTTAGCATGGTTCACATTCAGAAATCTACCAACAGAAGATTCTGGAGAGGATGTGAGTAAAAAGGGACACTAACCCACTGTTGGTGGCAATGCAAACTGGTGAAGCCACTATGGAAGTCAGTCTGGAGATTCCTCAGAAACCTGAATATAACCCTACTGTTCAACCCAGCCATCCCACTCCTTGGAATTTACCCAAAGGAAATGAGATTGGCAAACAAACAAGCTGTCTGCACATTAATGTTTATTGCAGCTCAATCAATTCACAATAGCTAAGACCTGGAACCAACCCAAATGCCCATCAAAAGTAGAATGGATAAAGAAATTATGGGACATATACTCTATAGAATACTATCCAGCAGTCAAAAACAATGAAACCCGGTCATTTGCAACAAGATGGAGGAGTCTGGAAAACATTATGCTGAGTGAACTAAGCCAGGCCCAAAGGGACAAATATTATATGGTCTCCCTGATTGGTGACAACTAACTGAACACCAAAGGGGAAACCTGTTGAAGTAAAATGGACACGATGAGAAACAGTGACTTGATCAGCTGTTGTCCTGTCTTTTGATGTACAATGTAATACTTTATCCATGTTAGTATTTTTCTGTTCTAGTACAATTGGTTGAACTCTGTAATTAACACACAATTATTCTTAGGTGTTTGGATTTCAACTGAATAGTGATCCCTGTTTAGAATTTGGAAAACATTATGCGAGTGAAATAAGCCAGTCCCAAAGGGACAAATATCATATGTTCTCCCTGATCGGTGACAACTAACTGAGCACCAAAAAGGAAACCTGTTAAAATGAAATGAACACTATGAGAAACGGTGACTTGATCAGCGCTTACCCTGACTGTTGATGAACAACTTAATACGTTATCCTTCTTAGTAATTTTTTGTTTGTTCTACTTAATACTTTTGGTTGAAGATTGTAATCAATACAGTTATTCTTAAGTGTTGAAACTTAACTGAAGACAGAGCTGCGCAAGCTGCAGGGTCTGCACGCAAGTGCTCGAAGGGGAGTGCAACAGCGGGGAGACTTGGGAAGTCCAGAGCTCCGAGTCCACACATTGGCGCTGGAAGGGGAGCAGACCTGCGTGGAGAGCGTGG